GTCATTAATCATTTCCAAATCAAATTAATCCTGAAAGATAGATAAAAGATTTATTTTTTTAAAAAAATTGAATATTATTTATTTTTATTAAACTAATAAACTTTTGTTAAGAAAAGTTTATCAAAAATTAGCAATGGAATTAATAAAAGATTAAATAAATCAAAACCTATGAAGTGTTAGGTCCTAGATCGATAGTTTTCCATCATTCGGGTCTGATATCGACACATTTCATCTTTCGAGTCCCGAATTGATAATTCATCTATCTCTCAGGTTCTGAATTGATAAAATTCCTTGATTATTTATATTTAGGGGATAAAAATAAGTAATCTAATTTTTGAATTTAGAAACATTTTTTCTCATAATTATGGAAGTTTCTTTATCATATTTATAAATTACTTAAACTATTGCCATTATATTGATGAATAATATGAGTTTTTCCTCGTAATAATGCTAAATAATTAAATAATTTCCAAAATACTGTTGGGTTAAAAATAATTCTCAAAATAATGCTGGATTAATCGTGATTAAGGAGAGCCGCCATTTGAATTGGCAACTTATCTGTTATAGCACAAGAACCGCCACTTGAAATGGTGGCTTTCTTCAAAGATTACTGAGCTCAATAACGAGTGTAATGCCAAAGCGAGCCAAAGCCAACTACATATGGTATTGGGTCTCACCAAAAATAAATACGGAGTATCTCTTGTTTTCTTTGAAGTGCTATAACTTTTGTATTTGTACTCTGATTATTACAAAAAATATACCAAACTTCATAATTTTTTACTATCTTTCATATGACACCAATATTGAATATATAAAATCAAAAAAAAAATTAACACTTTAAAATTATTGCATATATGTTTTTAAAGTTTTATATACTTTTTTATTTGTATTCCGAATATTACAAACAATACATCAAAGTTTATTATTTATATTATCTTTTATAGGGAAGCAATGTTTCATTTAGAAAAATAAAAAAGAAAATATATTAGTTTGTGTAGTTTAGGATCGTTTTTTACCATGCACAAAATTAATCAAGAGTGATAGATTAAAACAAAATTATACAAAATCCATCACATTTATTTTTATATTTTTCACACAAGAATTTATGTTGTTTTGTTTCATATGACACCAATATTGAATATATACAAATCCAGAGTGCATTAAAAATTGATCCTGAACTACAAAAATTAATATATTTTATTTTTATTTTTCTATATGAAACATTGCTCCCCTATAGAAGAAACGGAAATAGGGTTAGACAAAAAAGTGACCCTTCAAACTCTTCGCATGTCTTCGTTCTCGCGCATCGCCATGGGTCAGAAGCTTTCATCCGAACCGACTACTCCTCCCAATCGTCTTCATCGCCACACTGAACACACAGTCTTCTCCAGGAGGCAACATCCCTTCGCTGAACTCCGCCAGCAATCTTCTTCTTCTCCTTTCTTCTATCCTGTAACACTTTCGCCGCCGCTGCTCCGGAACAACTCCGTAGGTGTCGTCATCTTCGATGAAGCTTGTCAATCGACGCCACATTGAATCACCTTTGTCGTTGTCGTCTTCGATGGTGTCTCGATCGCCACCGCTCAAAATCCTTCCCAGATCTGATAGATTCCAGATCCTGACGGCTAGATTCCAGATCTAGCGGCTAGGCTTTCTAACTTTGGTGGTGGGGCGGTTGTTGCCAGCGAGTGGTAGTAACAGGGGAGGATTTGGGTTTTCTAGTGTGAGTGGGGGTGCGCTGTGGACTGGGCTAAAGGGCTGTGTGTGGCCGTGTGGGAGAGTGAAAGAGGTTGTTTGTGGACTTAGGGTGGTGTTGGCGTCGGTCACTGCGTCGGTCACTGTGTCAGAGTCACTTTTGGTCAGTCAGTCACTGTGAGTGGCAGGGCAGTTGATAAGTCCGTATTTAGACATGAATTTGATGCGTGTTGGGATCGGTTTTGATGGTTTTCCCTAGCTTTAAGGTGTTACAAGTCTCAATTTTAGCTCAAGTTATGTTTACCGGGCGTTGGTTCGAGTTTTGTGTCATTTGGAGTCAAAATCAGGATTTTAGAAATCGGCATTGGCGCTTGAGGAGAAATCGGGATGAGATGAAAAGCATTTGAGATTGATTTGAGAGCTATGGAGGTCAGCGGGAGATTTACGATGAAGATTTGATGACAAAAGAGCTATAGGATTGGCTTCGGGATCAAAAGAAGATGAATGAAGTTTGAAAACGACGATCAGGATGACCTTCTGCCAATCATTCAAGAATATCTCTTTGTAGAAACAACTAATGGACATGATTCAAGTTGTATATGAAATACAACTTCAAGGGCTACAAATCATATGAAGACACCATTACGAGAATAGGAGAGCAAGAAGGTGAAAACAGATGACGAAGTCAGATGATCTCTGCTGCGATTTCAGAATGACACCTTCCACCGTTTTTATCATATCGCTTGATTGATTGATTCAAATCACATTCGGCAAGTTGGGGTAGATAGAGAACTTCATTATCTAAAACTTTCATGAAGGAAGTTTTGTCAAATTCAGACTAGAGAAAAGGCTGAAGAACACGGACGCACGACCATGCGTCGGGGACGCACGATCGTGCGTAAGAGCCAAAACCGTGCAGGAGCTACTGCCTGCTACGCACGATCGTGCGTAGCCAGGGACGCACGATCGTGCGTAGCCCCGAGTTACGCGCGGAAATTTCCCACATCGACCAAAATTGTGATTTTCCCCCTCTTTTCTATAAATAAGGCCTCCCTAACCCTTTTTAGTGAGGACGAACATTACGGAGAAGCCTATGGACGAATTTAACACCGTTTTTACGCTATTTTCTTCGAAGACCCTGAGATTATTTGTAAGTTCATCTTTTTAATTAATGACAATTTATTCTATTCTTCCCAATTCTGTTGATTCTTCAATTATGAATTGTGAGTAGTTTAATTAGGGATTTGGGATTGATGAAGGGGTTAATCATGATTGATGGCTAGATTCTTTTCGATTTAATTGCATGAATGCCGTTTAATTTGTGTTTGAATAATTTAACTGATATCTTTTGTAACCTGGAACCGCGACTAGAATTATAATTGCACATAGAATAAATTAAGAGAGATCTAGTTTATTCTAGTACACATTCACACACACTTAATTGTTGGCTAAGAGATTAGTAGCGATTAAAAGGCCGTAAGCTCGCTCGTTTTGGCAATAATTTAGAATCTTGTCGCATGAGAGATCTGTCTGGTCCCCTAAATTATTGTACTCTACGCCGCGAGAGCGGTAAGAACTTAGTATTGATTAGCTAGGCTCAATTAAATTAATTTCATGTAATTAGGCCTGATCTGCCAGAAATCTGATTACCCCGGAATCAATCCGTGCTCCCTTCGTCGTTAATTAGAGAGAACCCAATTTTTTATTTTAATCGTTCATTCGCATTAGTTTAATTTCAATTCAACCAATCATTCTCGCACGACACATTTATTTAATTGTATTCCTTTTTAATCGCTGAATTTAATTAGTCCTTAATTCCCTTTTGTCCGTCCCCGTGGAGACGATACTCGTACTTTCACCGCTATTCTACAATCTTTTAAAGTGCGAGAAAACTCACATCAGCAGTCACTGTGGCCGGTAGGGCAGTCATTGTGGCCGGTAGGGCAGTCACTGTGGCCGGTAGGGCAGTCACTATGTCCGGTGGGACAATCATTGTGGTCACGGAATCACTTTGGCCGGAGTCACTTTACACAACAGGGGTTAATTGTGGTTTTTGTCACATTTTTGAAATTTTTAAAACAATGTCACTTTTTTGTATTTTATTTTATTTTTAGTACTATCGAGGCCCAAATGCCAAAAACAAATACGCAGTAATTTTTAAAGTGTTAAATTATTTTTTGATTTTATATATTCAATACTGGTGTCATATGAAAGATAATAAAAAATTATGAATTTTGATATATTTTTTGTAAAAATCAGAATACAAATAAAAAGGTTATAGCGCTTCAAAGAAAACAGAAGATATTTATGTTTGGTGGGACCCAATACCATATATAGTTGGCTGACTTTGTCATTACACTCATTAGTAGTTTTTTAAGAAAGAAGCGGCGGCTCTTGTACTATAACAGATAAAGCATCACTCAAGTTGCGGCTCTCCTTAACCACAGTTAATCCAACTGTGTTTTGAGAATTATTTTTAACACATCATTTTTTTGGGAATTATTTATTTATTTAGCATTATTCCAGGGGAAAACTCGAATAATATCACAAAATATCATACTCTAGTATAATCTATTTTCCTCATTTGAGCAAAAAAAGAATAATTAAATAATCGTTGTAAATATTTTCAATTATTGTTAGCATCTTAAATGAAGTTGTAGCCTTGTAGGGTATGTTTGGCACAACTAGCTAAAACGATCTTTTGTAAACTTTTTAATAACTGTTAGCTTTTAGTGACTGAAAAGATCTTTAAGAGAAAAAGTGGTAGCTGTTTGGTAAAAAGCTGACTGTTTGATTTAGTTCGGTTTGGTATACAAGCTGTTAGGACTCATTAATACTAAAAGTCACGGGCTTTTTTAGATACTACTCCTTGTAGCATCTCAAAAAAGATCTTTTGATTTTTTAAAAGCTCTTCAAAATTGTCATGCCAAACATATAACTAGAAGGTTTTACAGACTTTTTGAACAATACAAAAGTTAGAAGGTAGAGACTTATGTCTGCCAAACATAGCCGTAGACTCGTGGCGTTGGAAATACTCCGACTATCCAACACTCCTGTCTTTATCTCGATTTTTATGATTGTACAAAGTTGTTATAAATGACAGTCTTAATTGTTTTTGTACACAAATAATTCATAAGATACTCCATTTGTATCTATTTAAAAGGTACTCTTTGACTTACACACAATTTTGACACTCTTTGATATTGTTTTACACTACTTTACATTGTTTTATTTAATAAATAAGAAAATGAGACGATTTTAAGGGATTGAACCAGAAAGAAAATTGAAATGTTTATTTAGAGCCCGTTTGGTAGCATGAAAATCGGCTGATTTGGCTGATCCTGCTGAAATTTATGAAATTCTGGCTGAAGTGGCTGTATTAGCTGATTCTGCTGATTGAAGAAAAAAATATTTTCAAAATATATTTTATTAATAAAATAAAGGAAAAATTGTATGTAAAAATAGCTAAAATGATCATCTACAGTAACTTCAGCCAATACAACCAGAAAAGTAACTCCAACCTTACTTTTCTGCTTATTACACAATTCAGCGCGCAAAAATAAAAGTTACGTGTTTGATGAAAAAGTTGGCTGATAAACCTGATAAACCGAAAAACAGTGCTGCCAAACGGCCTCTTAGAGAAGAAAGAAGTAAAGGATTTTTAAGATAATTGTGTACGTGACACACCACTTTATTTTTCTAAGATTAAGAGTAGAGAAGAGATACAGAGCATCTTTTAGATTCAAATTGGGAAAATACCCTAAATAGTACTCAAAACGTTTGTAAATTTTAAAATAGGAATATCATGTTTTTATTTCCTAAATAGGACTAATTATTGTCATGTTTTGGCAATACCAGACTTTAAACGTAACAGTATTTTCCAAACTTGGCAATAATTACTTCTATTTAGGAATACAAACATGACAGTCTTATTTTGGAATTTTCGAACTTTTTTACTAGTCTTTGGTAGCATGTAATTACTTCGAATCAGCCGATTTTTTCATAAATTTCAGCAGGATCAGCCAAATCAGTCGTTTTGGAGCCGTTTGGTAGCATGACAGTCTTTTTTCATTCAAATTACAACCTTGTCCAGTCTCCAAAGACTAGTTATTGCGTGTACTGGAGACGTTTTGGTTTTACAATTCAAAGATTGGCTCATCAAGATTTTCCTTACATTACTGCCATTTGCGGATAACCGAAAGGAGAGTGAGGGGATAACGGAGGCAGGTCACACATCCCGTTAAAATTCTGATCCCATACGGCGTTCCAGTTTGACGGCGTTGGGGGCCATTCCTCTGCCGCGTCATTTTTAACGACACCCGTCTCTTCGGCGTCTCTCTCTGGCTTCATGCAACCGTCCCCGGCGGCCTGAGACTCTTCGGTTTTGAGCCTCGAAGCTTCTAACGGGAAGTTCAGAATCGCTTTGCTTCCGCGAATCCTGAATGCCGCTCGGTCGTAAGCTTTAGCCGCCTCGACTGCGGTGTCGAACGTCCCCAGCCAAGCTCTACTCCCACGCCGTTTCGGATCTCGGATCTCCGCCGCGTATTTTCCCCACGGCCGTCGCCTCACTCCCCTGTAGCGTTTGTTTTCCTCCGCAGGTAACTGAATTTGGACCGTCGTCCTTTCGATTTTATCCGCCGGAGGTAAATCGATCTTCAGCGGAGGCTTTCTGGTTGGGGCTGTCGAATTATGTTGAATTTTTGGTGATGTGAGATCTATAATTTGAGAATATGATTCGAAGTTCGAGAACTTGTTATCATTTTGCTCGAAATTCATCGTTGAATTCGATTCCAAATCAAACAGATTCTCTTGAAAATTCAAGGAATTATCATCGAAGTCAATGGAACCCTGGCTACAATCGGAAATCGTGAGAGGAGGTTCATAGCTAGCAGTTTCAGAGGGGTTTGAGCCTGATTGCGAGCTTGAAAAAACTCCATTTGCTGGACTGTAGCTCAACTGGTTAGCGAAAGTGAACCCTTTTGGAGAAAACTCTCCAAGCAGATAGTTTCTGATTTGTTGTAGTGCAGAAACTTCATCAAAGGTCGCCATCGACTTTGCGAAAAACTCAAAATGAAGATGAAAGAGATTTTCCTACAAAAGGCGATATTTCTCGATTCTCAGTTGCTAATGCTGAAGACTTTCGGTTGATAGTAGAATCGAAGACAATGAGATGCTTTATGCCTTTATATATTGAGAACGACTGGCAGAAAAGTAAAGTCAACCAGGGACGGATACTCTAAAATTTATCCAAAGTTCAAAATACAGACAATTGTTTGTTAATTTAATTATACTAAAATTGATGAAGTTATTGTCGAAGTAGCTGGATCAGATTATGATGATTTAATGAAAAATATGTTTAAAATACTGATTATTAATAAAGTAAATAAAAATTATATGAAAAAAATGATTTTTTTCGGCCTATACAATGAAAAGAGTAATTATAACCTTATTTTTATTACACAATTCTGCGTGTGAAATCAAAACTTACGTGTTTGGTAAAAAAATTGACTGATAAATCTTCTAAGTTGAAAAACATGATCACCAAACGAGCTCATAGTACCTCTATTTCATACTCTTACCCTTATCTTTGTTGCATTTTACCTTTTTTCCAACCATATTATCTCATACTCCTTTAGACTTTAGTCCTTCCATATTGAAATGTGTGTTACATTTTCATTTTTAAGATATATTTCAATTTTGTTACACTTTCTCTTTTCTAAAAGTTTTCTCTTAAAAAGTACATATTCAACAATCTTTACTTTTTCAACTTTTTATTTTTTCATACATTTCTATCTTATCTCCTACTTTTTCTACAGTATTTATTATTCTTATTACTACATTTCAATAGAGGAATTATCATACTACCTTCGTCCCGAAAAGGTTCACCAGATTGACTATTCTTGGTCAATGATGTCGAGCTTTGGACAATAATTTTAATTATTATATTTGTATATATTTTATAAATTGTATACTTTTATGAAAATATTTTGAATAAGGAACATTTTGATATAAATTTCATATTCAAAATAATTATGTATGAAAAAAATATCACTGGTCAAAGTTGGTTGTCATTGACCAAGAAAAGTAAATTTGTCGAAACTTTTAAGAACGGAGGGAGTACTTGATAACATGTAGGTGGTTGTCTACCTTTCATTCGCACTTTATGTTTGCGGTTTACTCATTCAATCTAATCATACAATTTTATTTTTCTTAATAATCGTATTACTAGCTCTTGTCCCAATCTTAATGGGTGGAGGTGACTTCGCCAATTATGATCGGAATTGTCAAGATCGAGATCGTCAATCGCAACACAGGAAAAATTTAATAGTGTAATTATAGGGACTAATGTGTAATTACTCCTACTCTTTATTATTATAAATACAATGCTAGGGTCCCCTGATGGGTAAGCCATTATTTCACAATTATTCTCTCACATGGTATCAGTAGCCTAGGGTTTCCACCCCTAGCATACATGTCATCGATCTCTCTTCCTTTTTCTACGACGCCTGCACAATCGGTGCTGTCGAGCCCAGATGGACCATCGCCACCCACTTGCGCGATTCCACAGCCGGCTCCGTCGATGCCAGCGCCCATCCGCATGGAGCAATTCCCTTCTTCAGGTGTCACTCTTTCGCCCCAGTTGTCATCGTCCAGAATTTCTATGCCGCCGCCTCCGTCGCTCGGCTCCTACACACTTTTCAACATGCCTGATCCCTTCAATTGGAATCCTTCGGCCTCAATTTCGGGTTCTGTTGGAAAAATATGTTAAAAATTGCATTAAATGGTCATTTTGGGGCAATTATTTGAGTGGGGTCCACTTCCGATTTGGGTCGGGTCAAAGTGGTTTTGGATTGTCCTTGTTAAGGGATACAATTCGATATATGGTACGCTCAAAATGGATAACGGGTGAATGAGAAATTGATTCTCGAAGTCCACTCGTTGAAATGGAAAAACTGAGAAATTGATGGGTTTGTAGTGTGTTTTATACCACACCGGAAAACTCAAGAGATTTTCACTCCCTTATAAAAGGAAGTCTCTTTTAAGGAGTTAAGATTCCTAAAGGTAAAGGCTCTCTCTTACGCACAAGAGGGGGTGCCGATCAAATCCCGAAACGGAGAAGAAAAACCGCGACTCGTGTGCGCGGGCGACCTGCGGACACGAATGTCGTCCGAAAATCTGAGGAGGGGTTTCTGGTGGCTTTTGGACAGAAGGCCACAGAGCAGTTCTGGTCGCACCAGAAGGCCACGAAGCAGTTCTGCTCGCACCAGAAGGCCTCGAGGTATTCTGTTTGCACCACAAGGCCTCGAGGTATTATGTTCGCACCCGGAAGTCATCTGGACTGTTACAACAAAAAATGCACAAACGCTCAAACGTTAGTTCGTTAGCCACCATATCCTGAGAAACGGTCGTTGCAACGCTCCTAGCACCGTGGGAGGGGTTTCTGGTGGCTTTTGGACAGAAGGCCACAGAGCAGTTCTGGTCGCACCAGAAGGCCACGAAGCAGTTCTGCTCGCACCAGAAGGCCTCGTGGTATTCTGTTTGCACCACAAGGCCTCGAGGTATTATGTTCGCACCCGGAGGTCATCTGGACTGTTACAACAAAAAATGCCCAAACGCTCAAACGTTAGTTCGTTAGCCACCATATCCTGGGAAACGGTCGTTGCAACGCTCCTAGCACTGTGGGAGGCGACGAATACGTTTTAAGGATATCATGCGTAGCACGAGCTCTGGCTAAACTCTGTTCCATGATATTTTTGTTTTTCTTTAGCTATTTAAATTAATTAATTATTTTTATTAATTAATATTTCTTCGTTTTTCCGAGACACACCCAACAATCTTAAAACGTATTCGGTGATTGTTCTACTCCGGTAAAGAATCTTAAATCGTAGTTTGTCACTTTGGTGAACGAATTTATTTTTTTAGTGTTTTCAGAAAACGTAAGAAAACGTTAAAATGGCTTCACAAGAAATTGGAAATGTTGGTGGGCAGAACGTGCTAAACGACACTCACTCTGAAAGTGGGGCTCCGGTGAACAATGGTTCACAACGCGGTGCATCTACTTTGGGCAACCAAGGGGCAATCCTTATGGTTAATGTGCCAAGCAACTCTGTGGAGAAACCCGAAAAATTTAATGGATTAAACTTCAAGAGGTGGCAACAAAAGATGCTCTTCTATCTCACTACTCTCGGTCTTGCGAGGTTCTTGATCGAAGACGCGCCGGAAGCAACCGGGGGTGAGGTGGATGCGCAATCTTTCAATGCGGCTGAAGCATGGAAGCATTCTGACTTCCTTTGCCGAAACTATGTGTTGAACGGGCTGCATGATGCTTTGTACGACGTGTATAGCAAATTAGCTACGACTAAGGAGCTATGGAATGCTTTGGACCACAAATATAAAAGCGATGATGCCGGCGCAAAGAAATATGTTGTTGGTCGATTCCTTGATTTTAAAATGATGGATTCGAAGACGGTCTTGAGTCAAGTTGAGGAAATGAAAATGATCTTCAACGAAATTCGAGATGAAGGAATGACAGTTATTGAGTCTTTCCAAGTGACGTCAATTATCCATTTATTGTCACCGACTTGGAAGGATTTCAAGAACTACCTTAAGCATAAGCGAAAGGAAATGAACTTGGAGCAAATGATCCTCCGTCTGCGGAATGAAGAGGATAACCGGAAGAACGATGGGAAACTCTCAATCGTTACCAGCGCCAACGCTCAAAATGGATAACGGGTGAATGAGAAATTGATTCTCGAAGTTCACTCGTTGAAATGGAAAAACTCGGAAAATGATGTGTTTGTAGTGTGTTTTATACCACACCGGAAAACTCATGGGATTTTCACCCCCTTATAAAGGGAAGCCTCTTTTAAGGAGTTGAGATTCCTAAAGGTAAAGGCTCTCTCTTACGTGCAGGAGGGGAGGGGGGAGATCAAATCCCGAAACGGAGAAGAAAAACTGCGACTCGTGTGCGCGGGCGACCTGCGTACACGAATGCCGTCTGAAAATCTATCATTCAAAGATAAGATTTAATTTTTGGTTCTTCCCGTAACGTTTTAATTTTTCCCAGGACCAGAATTGCTCCACTTTCTGTTGGCTTCCGGACCAGAGAACCTGAGAGGTGTTTCTGGTGGCTTTTGGACAGAAGGCCACAGAGCAGTTCTGGTCGCACCCGAAGGCCACGAAGCAGTTCTGCTCGCATCAGAAGGCCTTGAGGTAGTCTGTTTGCATCAGAAGGCCTCGAGGTATTCTGTTCGCACCCGGAGGTCTTCTGGGCCATTACAGCAATAAATGTCCAACGTTCTTATCTTTTAATCCAGCGTTAAATGGACAGTTTATGGACGATTTAATGCCCAACGGACTGGTCATTGATGTCCAACGTTCAGGTCCATTAACACTCAATTTAACACACAACAAATCCTCCTCTAAATAGCTGGCAGGTGGTTTTCAACAACACAACACACAATACATTCCTCACGTATTTTTGAGCTCTAAAACACTCCCAGCTACTTCGAAAATTCCTGAAAGTTCTGCCTTTGTTCCCGTTCACCAGAACTCTCGTTTGTGTGCTTAAACGTTAGTTCGTTAGCCACCGTATCCTGGGAAACAGTCGTTGCAACGCTCTTAGCACTGTGGGAGGCGACGAATACATTTTAAGGACATCGTGCGTAGCACGAGCTCTGGCTAAACTCTGTTCCATCTTATTTCTGTTTTTCTTTAGCTATTTAAATTAATTAATTATTTTTATTAATTAATATTTATTCGTTTTTCCGAGATACACCCAACAAGTTCATCATCAGCCGCGATCCATATTCCAGCTTCTGCAGGAGCAATTCACACGAGTTTTTCAGGCCCTACTCTCTCGGGACAGCCGGGTACGTCTCCTTTTGAGGCACCTCCACCCCCACGGGAGTGTACTAGCAAGGTAACATCCACTCCCCCGTCAAATTTATCATCTCACTTAACGTTCACTACGCCCAACGTTACTAATATAGTCACCAAATTTCTCATCCAGAATAACTATGAGCTACTGGATTACGTACTTTGTCTCATTTCCACTGTTAATAATAATTGTCCTTCTTCCAAAAAACACAAAAAACATTAAAAAAAAATACAAAAAACACTAATTTAAGTGAGAACGTTAAGTACTAAT